CCGACTCACCCAATCTATAACTATCAGAAAAAGGAGAGGGGAAAGTAAACATCCTTGTCTGACACCGGTTGATACAGGAAATGGATCTGTCAGAGTCTCTGCATGGCTCACTTGACATGTAAAACCGTCATAGAGCTGTTGGATGACGGATATAATTTTTTCAGGTATTCCATAATATCTAAGGATGTTCCACAGTACTTGATGGTCTATACTATCAAAGGCCCTCTCGAAATCTACAAATGTTAGGTATAGGGATGTCTGCCACTCAATGGTTTGCTCAATGATGATTCTTAATGTGGCAATTTGGTCAATACATGATCTCTCTTGTCGATAACTACTGCCAGATAAGTAATGAGCCAGTTAGAGCGACGGGATGTAATTAACACACCACCCAAGTCAGAGATGCATCATACAATTTTCTTTGAAGTCGGCCGCGTTTCCTTTCCTTTTAAATATACAATTCCTTGTTATTACATTTTTCTGGGGTTTTTTTTATAGCCCCGGCCCATTCTGATAATGTAGATTTTTTTCGATGTGCCACTGCACTATACACCTAACATTTGAAAATCCTGGCTCTGCCTCTGTGTTTTATTTTTATTTCCTTTTTATCCAATAAATTCTGCATTCAAGAGGGGTGCTCATTTCTAAAATCACGCTTTTTTGTACTGAATTTTTCCCACTTCCCACTTTTTTCCCTTCTTTTCCCCCAGACCACACCTTTTTTATCACCTATATCCCATCCCCACTGTGTTTACCCCTTAAAACCCACATCCCCCAAAGCGTGTCTTTCTCCTCTTTTAAATTAACAAATCAAATCAAATCAAATCAAATATTTTATTGTCTTATAAACTTTACAGTTTGTGACCAACATGTATTAACACAATAAACATATATACATACATATCAAACAAACACAATAAAAACAGCATCAAAATTTAAAAAAACAAACAAGTTGTTAAGAGTCCCCTGCCCTCAGTTCTAATGACTTTTTCAAGAAGGATCCTAACTTATTTGTTTGAAAAGGCGTTGATGGATTTAGTAAATAATGAATTTTTTCTTCTTCATTTAAATTATTAAAGTTATTATTTTCAGTACATATGTGTTCAAAAAAGGCATTTCTTAGTGTTTTATTATAATCACAATAGAGTAAAAAATGTTTCTCATCCTCTAGTATTTTACATTTTTGACAAAGTCGTTCCTCTCTTGGGATTTTAAAATATCTCCCCTTTTCAATTAAGAGGGAGTGATCACTTAGTCTAAATTTAGTGATCAATCTCCTTATCTGAAAATTAGATATATTTAGATAAGATTCTAGTTTGCAATCCTTTTTAAGTTTTTTATATAGATAAAATTTACTTTTATCATCAATGTTTTCAAATTTAGTTTCAATTAAATCTTCATATCTATTTTTCATTTTTAACTTTATATCGTTTTTTATTTTATTTACATCTTTTATGTCCTTACAATTAGAAAAAATATTAAGGTCAATATAAGTCTCTTCAACAATATTCTTTGCATATGTATACCATGAATAAGTTCCAGTCAAATCTAGAGACTGTGCTAGAGAAAAAGCTTCCTTTATCAATGGATTAATATTATTATTATATAGTCTAGCTAAATATAAAAGGGTTTGTGTTTTAATAAAACATTCTATAGGCAATCTTCCTAATTCAACTCTTGCCCCTAAATTGGATGCATTTTTTCTTATTCCTAGAGTAGATTTACAAAATTTAAGATGCATATTTTCAATAGGGGTTTTGTCTGTAAAATCAAGTTGATTAATTTGTTTTCCTGAAGATAAGGCTCTGTTTTTGGCTCTATGAAAAGAAATATATGTATCCAAATATGTTACTTCTGAATTATAGGTCATAATTGGTTTTACTAAAGAATCAAAAAGGTTATTTGCTACTTTTATAGGTAGATTATTCAATGATTTAGTATAGGATTTTATTGCAAAAAATACTTTTTTTGCCTTTTTTGTCAGCTCTAAGGTACTTTGTGATAAATTTCCATTACATTTTATCAACATTCCCAAAAATGAATATTCTGATACGCTCTCTATGGCTTCATTCTCATAGTAAATATGTGATGTTTCACCATTTTGTTTGGACTGACTGAAAATCATGGATTTTGTTTTGTTTGTATTTAAAGAGAGTTGCCATTTGTTGCAATATAATTTGACATTATTTAAACTGTTTTGAAGACCCTCTTTTGATTCTGACAGGATCAAAAGATCATCTGCAAAAAGGAGGCATCCCACCTTACTATTTATAAGCTTAAGGGGACTTGAATCATTTCCCTCAAAATTTTTTACAATATCATTAATGAAGACATTAAATAAAGTGGGGCTGAGGGTGTCTCCTTGTTTAACCCCTCTAGCAATATTAAAAAATTCTGATACATAATCTTTGTATTTCAAAGATGATTTAGTATTTAAGTATTGTTGTTTTATAACTCTGTAAAAAGACCTGCCAACTCCCATTTTGCATGATTTATAAAGTAAAGCAGTTCTCCATACTGAATCAAAAGCCTTTTTCAGATCTATAAAGCAGGCATAAATCTTTTTTTTCTCTTTATGTAGATATTTATTAATCAAGGACTTCAATAAAAAGATGCTATCAGCTGTTCTGTGATTTTCTCTGAAACCAAACTGACAATCACTTAATTGTTTGTCAACAATCTTGATTAGCCTATTATTCAATATGGCATTAAAAAGTTTTGGTAGATTACTTATAAGAGAAATTCCTCTATAATTATTAGGGTCTAACTTGTCACCTTTTTTATGTAAAGGGATCATGAAAGATAATTTCCATGAATCTGGATAATTACCTGTCTTTAAAATCAAATTAAAAACTTTTACAATAGAATTAATTATCACAGGTTGTGAATGTTTGAGTATTTCATTCACAATTCTATCTGGACCTGCTGATTTGTTTACTTTAAGGTTTGAAATGACCAGTTTTACCTCAGCAAATGTAATTGGTGCATCAGTTTCCATATTCAATTCAATATTATCCTCTAGAATGTTTAATTCACGTTCCAATTTATTTACAAAGGGTTTATCATATGATGTTGGTGTACCCTGATCCTGAAAATGTTTTATGATTTTATTTTCATTCATTAAAATTTCAGGAATATCTTCTTCAATATTTGGTTTCTTTTTTATTGCCTTTAGAACATTCCAATATTCTTTTGGATTATTTTTAAAGTTATCTGAAAGTGATTTATAAAGTTTTTGGTGATATTCAAATTTTTTCTGTTTAATCATTTTTTTTAGTTTTTTACATAATTCAAAATATTTAGGTTTTAAACTTTTGTCATTTAAGTTATTCTTGATTTTATTTCCTATATAGTTTATTTGTCTTTTTGTTTCATATACTGTATTATCTGACCATACTTGTTTAATTTTTTTCTTTTTCTTTTTAGTTGGTTTAGATATGCCTTTACATGTATTTTCTGCAATATTTTGTAAAATTTTTGTAAGTTTTTCAGTTGCACCATCAACGCCTAGTTTATTGCTATCAAAATGTTGCATCTCTAAATCTAAAATTTCCTTTCTAACATTTTCTGTTGATAGAACATCAATTAATTTTGAAAATGACAATTCTGTCCATTTGTATGATTTAATCAAATGCCATCTCTTTTCATCTAGACATTTCTTCATACATGTATCTGATATAATAGAACAATTCATATATAAGTTTATTTGAACATGATCTGATAAATATGTAAAGTCATTTGTTTTAAAGTATTTTACCTCAGGCAGGAGACTCTCACTTGCAATGGCATAATCAACTGTACTGAACCCAGTATTACACATATAAGTAAAATATCCTAGGGAATCTCCCAAAAAACGGCCATTGAGTATACGTAGCCTTGAGGATGAACATAATTCAAGTAATTTATTCCCCAATGTATTCAAAGTGTTATCGTGGTTTACTCTTCTGATTTCAATATCAGTTATATAGCTCTCTGGAAGAAGGTCAATACCATCAAAATTATTTATTTCATCTGAGTCATTTTCTATGTAATCTGCTTTCATTGCAGTTCTAGAATTAAAATCCCCAATTAAAATAATTTGTCCTTCAATAGAAAATGAACTAATTTCATTTTCAAGATTTTCTAAGTCACTATCATAATGTGCTGATGAAAAAGGGGGAATATAAACAGCACAAAGATATATATCTTGATTAAGTCCAAAGAAATACTTATCAAGCTTTAACCATAATCTATTCTGGGATGACGTAGCATCTTTAAGATAAGAAATCCCCTTGTAAAATTGTTTTTTGATTGTGACTATAATGCCTCCACTATGTCTTTTGGCTTTTTTTGTTTTCTTTCGTATTTTAGAGATAATGTTATAGCCTTCAATTTTAAAATCTTCTGATCCCCCCTTCCAGGTTTCTAATAGTATATTTATATCTTTATTTAAAAAATCCAGAAACATTGGGTCTTTCATCTTATCTCCAAGGCCATGTACATTCCATGAGGAAATTGACAATTTTTTATGAACTCTGTTCATTTTTAATTTTGACTAGTGCCAGATATATATTAAACATTCTTGTTAGCCTGAAAACCTTCAATTATATTTAGACAGTTTGGTTAATGTTTCTATAAACATGATAGATTTAAACTGCAATAATAGTTCCAAATATTTTTTTTTTTTTTTTTTTTTTTAATTCATGACTGCTAACAATACAGCAGTCTAAGGGAAATAACTCTTTTCATTTGTTAAAATGAATATTACAAGTGTTCTGTAGAACTAACTGAATACTACAAGTGTTCTGTAGAACTAACTTTAACATAATAAATCACCCCAAAAAATATATATACAGATATTTTTACATTTCTTCATGAAACTAATATATTTTTCTAAACACCCATCACGAACATGTACAATGTATATTCTAATTGATTGATTTTTTTTCTTTCACTCTAATTTTCCGTATATTTGTCCGTCGCCAAACAGGCGCTTAATACACAGAACGAACTTCCTGTTTTTAATGTTGTCTGCTACCAAAACAAATCAAAGCAATTTACCAGAAATTACGCAGTCAAATGGTCATTTACCAGGACGAAATTTTATATAGTATGACAAGTATAGGAAACAGTGCTGAATACATGTTTTATTTACAGTAAGACACATGCAAATGCCCTGAAATAGGTCTTGAAAAGAGAAAGAAAAATCAAGGCAAACCTCATAGGTACTAAGGTAGGCATAGGAATTCGACGTGATGGCTCCACGAATCGCCAGTGGATTTTGGGGCATTCCAACTTCCACAATAGACTGGTGTGAAGAAAACTATAGCGTTACAACATATATTGCAGAATTTTGTAAGTTTAATTAATATTTTGGGTCAATGTATTTAACATAAAATTGAGAATGGAAATGGGGAATGTGTCAAAGAGACAACAACCCTACCATAGAGCATGTCTATTGAAAATACACCTTATCGCTATTTGTCCAACTTTACTGGACATCACAAAGGTTCACGTAAAATTTTGACGAGTGATTGTTGTATGAGGTCAATAGTTCAAGCGGGACAGATACTAGGGTCAGCCGGGACAGATTTCCAAATAGCGATAAGGCATGTAAGCTGTATGAATATACTGTAGTGAGTCTTTGAAGATGAAAAAGAGGGTAAATTCTTATCACATATGGGCTATAAGAAATATGGTATTTTGATACTAAAATAAATTTGATTGCCTTGTCAAGCTTAAAAACAAAAAGGACAGGAAAATAAAATTATAAATGGCAATCATGTACGATGCAGTCCAGTAAATCCGCCCATATAAGGCTTTGATCGTATGTATTTCTGCTTAATTATATACAAATTGTATCAAATTTAATATAAATAGATTAACTGACAAATCAATTTTGAGCAGTTTATCTCATTTCCCCAAAAGTATCTGAAATAAATTTTAAAATCAACAAAACAATTGGGTCATCCATGCTTTTATCGGAAATGTGTTTGTCCGGTAAATTCGCCCGTGCGCAGTAAATATGTATGGAGAGACAGTTTATCACAAATTTATGAAAGATAAAGGTGATCTATTAATAGACCACTTATAAAGAGATTCCAAATAATCCAAAAGAAAATAAATTTCAAGTCAGAAATGAGTTTTGTAAGCAAAAATATGATTATCGTTAGATTTATCAACTGTATTATATATATCACTGGATATTTTCGTAACAAAGGATATTTCTTTAAAATTTGACATGCAGTGATGATAAATACAGTTCCTATGAATAAATAGCAGACGAAATATTCACAGAAGTGACAATTACAGAAGTGAATGGGAGTGGGTTGGTTTACTGGACAGGCAGAATTACCGGACACTACTGTAGTTTCTTACTTTATTTTCACAAAAGAGATATTTTCTAATGAACTATACAAACCAAAACTCACATCTGGTATATTTGTTGGGTTTGTTTTGTTAATAACAATTTTATTTGCTCAAAGATACAAAAAGGATCGTACAAAAATTTAACCAACTTATGAAGTCTTCTCCTTTACATAATATTACAATACTATTATACAGAGCATGCACAGTTCAGTAGATATATATTAAAGGTAATAGTAAAATGAGGCATTTGCACAGTCTGAGAAGAAGAAAAATATTGCGGCCTAACACAATTTACAAGGAAAAAGATAGAGAATTGAGAAAAAGAAAAAATATAAATAAAAGAAAAATAAGAAAAAATAGGAAATAATACAAATATAAAAAAAAATAAATAAATGAAATTCTGTGGGCACGGTGTTTTTGTTTATTCATATCTTATTTGATTATGCTACAAGGAATCTTTTTGATTTTTTAATATATTTAAAGACTTCTTTAAAGATTTCACAGAAATGAGGCTGAACATCACAGCTGTGTTAAAATTACACTCAATTTCCACTGACCATACATGAAATGCTTAGGTACAGTCTTTGCTTCGTATGTATTATTCAACAAAGAGCGTTTGAACTTAGATAGCGTATCAAGTGTACAGATAGAATTATCAAGTTTGTTCCATTCTCTGATGGACGAGGGAATAAATGCAGAATTTGTTAAGGAGTCAACAAAAGGGGGCTATTTTGAGTTGTGCAAAATCCTTGATATAGAAGAAAAATTCAAAGATATGTAAATCCACAAATTACTAAGAAAATGTGTTGATCTGTTCTGTTTTTTATGTGAATTTGACCAAGAATAATAATTTTAAAAAACTGAACCCTATGAGTGCAGTATAATGCCCAACAAAATCTTGCTGAATTGCAAATAGAAAAATGGTCCGTCAGCAAGCTTAAAAATTAAATCATGAAAGCTGAGCAAAGTAGGAACAAAAATTGCATATACAAATGAGTAACTAATTTGATTTAATTGATGAGGCATCTTTTTATTCTTGAATCAATGGCAACATTAAGTAATTGAGTAAGCTGACAAATCAATAATTATTCTTATCATTGTAGACACCTCTTTTATAAATTGCAAAGTAACAGTTAAAGTTAATTGAATCAGTGATCCATTTAGTATTTAGTTTAACATTATTGATGATGTAGTCTTAACCACCTTTATTTGAGCTTAATTTTAAACAGGTTTCCAACAGAAATCCAGTTATTGCTTTGGCATTGTACAAATGAACATTAATGACTGATGTTTTGACAGGAGTGCAATAACATATAAGAACCATTCAACCAAGGCTTTTCAAATTTTAAGATGTTGGTATTGAAGACAAATTGTCAAAATGGAGGTTAAATTTCATATTTATGGTTTTCTCTTTTGTTGTTTAGGAGTTATGATTCTTGATTTATTGGAAAATGTTTTTTATGTCCTTTCCGCGCAATTAGTTAAGAATTATTCAACCAATTCTTATCAAATTTTAATATGTTGTTACTCATGACAAAATGGAGATCAAGTTCAATATGGACAGTTTTCACTATTGGAAATCAGGAGTCCTTGATTAATTAAGAAAATGCACTTTATGTAGTTTCCATGCAATAAATTGTCTTTGATTGGTTGAACAGTTCTAAAGTAATGACAAGGTTCCACAAATTTTTCCACACAACTTCAGTCACGACTTGAGATGACTTAAAAGTCAGGTTCCTTTTATTAAAGCAATGTAAATTGCAATTTTCCAATCAATCAAGGACAATAACACCTGAATGGCAGAAGTGAGTCAAGCTTTACATCCCTTTTGTCATCAGTATTGAGTAACAACATGTTGAAATGTGAAAAGCCCTATTCAGACAGTTCATGCGTCACAATCTATTGCACAAAAAACAGTGTACATTGCCATTTTCTAAGTTATCAGAGAACAAAATTCCTGAACAGAAAAATTGAAAATCATTAATTTGGAACTTGACCTCCATTATGTAACAACATATTAGAATTTGAAAAGCATTAGTTGAAAGGTTCATATGTTATTGCAAGGAAACTACTGAAGACACCCCCATCCAAGATACAACACCAAATTAGTTATCAGATTTCTGTTGAATAGCTGAATATATTCACGATTCAATATTCAGCAGAAACAATAACACAAGTTCATGAAGAAAGTATATAACAATAACTGTCCTTTAACTACATGACCAACAATTATATATATACATATATACATGTACTAAGATCTAATTTATTAATTATATGGACCAAACACATCTATAAAGCATTTTTTTCAATATATATATATTTAATTATCTTATCTTTCCATGATAACCTGTATACTAATTTATCTGTATTAGTGACATAATCAAAGTAACCTTAACTGTAATAAATCCTCTTTTTATCTTATAACTTCCCAGATCCTGAATTCTATGTTGACAGTTTTACCCTCAGGGAATTACATAATAAAGTAAACCAATCACACACTGTGAAGTTTATCTTAATTATTTATCAAGTCAATTATTTCCTCAGCTGTATTAAGTTAAATATTTAACCTGAAGTTCACTGAAGCATAATATAAAACATTTCATATATATATTTACACTCTGACATTTAGAATATATTGGTGATACTACATTTCATATATATATTTACACTCTGACATTTAGAATATATTGGTGATACCAGAGACATATTGTATTATATGTCTCTGGTGATACTACATTTCATTCCTCTCATCGTGGTTCTTTATTTCACATACATTCTCCTCCTCATGCTGGAAGTTTAAGATGACACTTTCCTGTCTTACTGAGGGTCTCCTCCTCATGCTGGAAGTTTTAGATGACACTTTCCTGTCTTACTGAGGGTCTCCTCCTCATGCTGGAAGTTTTAGATGACACTTTCCTGTCTTACTGAGGGTCTCCTCCTCATGCTGGAAGTTTTAGATCACTCTTTCCTGTCTTACTGAGGGTCTTTATAATATTCTTCTTTCTCTTTCTAAAATTCTTTTTTTTTTTTTGGGGGGGGGGGGTTCTTTCACCGTGAATGCCAGTAAAAACTTCCACATAATTACTGGATATGATTATGTATAAAATTGATAGAAATATTGAGAAATTTCTGAACATTATATATATATATCAAATCCATTTTTACCAAGAAACAAAAAGTCTTTTTTATTACTTTTTTCTGAAACAAAAAAGGGACATGGTACAGTACACACCGGGAATGCATTTTTTGTATGTCTGGCTATGTAAGTACTATATGTCAATAAAATACTTCCATGGCCTGACATGATTGACATTCTGGTCTCTGCTAATTTCATCTCTTGTGATAAAGGGCACAGATGACACAGGTGTAATAAAATTGCAAGGTATTAAATAATTACAAGAAAAATCTAAATGATTGTTAGTAAAAATTACATCTCATCTGAAGTTAATAATGTTATCAGCAAGTTTGCAAATAAGTATTAATTTTTACTTAGTAGACTTTTAAGTTTTTTGTATCTTTTATAATTTTGAATTCTAATCCGTTATATGATTTGTAATCTTAAACATCATATGATCCATGATCATGATCATATTTTTTTAATCTTTTTCTTAGATACTTTAAACAATAAGTTAACTATACTTGGTGCACAGAAGGATTGTAAGGTGTACATGTCTGTCTGGCATGTATCATCTGACCTTGATCTCATTTTCATGGTTCAATGGTCCATGTTAAATTTTCCTTGTTAAGTCTGTTTCTTAAATACTATTAGAAATATGTTAACTATGTTTGATCAAGGAATGATTGTAATGTGTAAATGTCTGTCTGGCATATATTATCTGACCTTGACCTTTCCACATAAAATCAATCATAAGCAGTAAAGTATAAATTGGCAAAAATTTGATTTAGACATTTTATATTTTCAGGGAACACCATTAGCAATTTCATATTCATCATACCATCACTGGCTGCTCTGTATTTTGCCTTTATTGATCACATGGATGATAGATACAAATGGTGCAATGGATCAGTATTAAGTATGTGTTCTCAAATTTCAGTCACTATACATGTATTTATATGTATATATTCTAATGGGAAATATTATACAGTCTACAGCTTTGTGTAATGAAACTAATAAAAGATAAAAAGGACTTACAGTTTAACCAAACAATGTGATAGTAACTTCTGCCCTCAAAATCATTTGAACACACAGATTTGGTTTTTTAAGTCAACTCGAGAGAGATGAACTTACAACAATTTTTTATATCCTTCGACGGCAAATATATCTATATATATGGAGAAAAAGTTAGAGATGCATTTTTTTTTAAATGTAGTTGACAACAAAAATTTTGTTGTCAACTACATTTAATAAAAAAAAATAAAGATATGATATTTTTGCAGTAAGATTTTCAGTTTTTGTTCTTGTATCATGTGTACAACATTGAGATGAATGACATGCTAATTGTAGGACAGTTTGACATGTTATATCCAGTTTACATGATTTATATGCAAATGATTTATGTAGTATGTATTCAGTTTGGAAAATTGTCATTTAACATTAATGTAAAATAATTTTATTTTATTGAATTATAAAATTTTCTTTATGAATTATTCTGTTGGTTTATATATAGATGGAAAGTGTTGTCAGATTAAAGTCCAATATTAAGCCTCTTTACATCATACTAAAATTATAAATTCTTGCTTATTCCATGGTATTGTCAGTTTTTCTTTATGTAGGGCAAAGTAATGATGAGAATTAAGTAGATAGAAAAAAATGTTCTTCTTTATTTACAAACATTTCCATCTTCATATAAATCTAGCTTGATTACAAGTATTTTTGGAAGGAAAAAGACCATCAATAAAATATAATAATATCTTTATTGTCATATAAACATAATTAGTTTATGACAAAAAACAAAAACGAACATAATATAGCAAAGAAATTATCACATGGAAAAAATATTATAAGACTTCTGTCCTCAGTTCTAATGACTGTTTTATAATGTCTTTATTTATTTACACCAGATCTCTTTTAATCACTCACACAAATTGTTGCCTCTTTATTGAGCTTTATTGTCATTAAGCAAGTCTACTGCCCAACAAGGGAAATAACCTGCTTCAAATTATAGATTTAGAGTAAAGTTCATGATTTGAGAAATGTTTCTGGAAAAGACAATAGGCACTCAAACTGATTATAGACATCTAGAATATAAGGAGCAGCTGTTCAGGATGTAATTGTGTTTACAGATTCCTGTCCCCAACACATTGCTATGTAAAGCACAGTTCTCTTTTGAGGCATGCAGCTAACAAATAATAATGTATTCAATAGTACCAGATTTTTCTGATGTCTAACAGCCTTTAGGTGGTTGGGGATGTCTCAAAGCACCAGCAAGTCCTAAAAAAGGCTGCAGTAATACATACATGAAGGAGCTATCTCAAACTATGTATACAGGTGCATGTTTGAGATAAAAGTATTTACTTAATTTATATGACATTTCAAATGTTTGTTTCAGCCGTTGGTCTTGGATCCTGGTGCTTCCATATGACACTACTGTATAGTATGCAGGTAAGAATGAAATCCTATTTTTACTCTTCATATTATACCCCTTCTCTCAGATCACCTTTGTCTGTTCATCCGAAAAATATTTCCATTACACTTTTCTCAGGTATTACTGAACAGAATGACTTCATATTTGTAACATGTGAGTGCTCTTCAGATCTGTCAGACTCTTACTTTTTGCTTTCTGATATTTGAATGAAGAGTGGTCATACAAATGTATGCTAAGCATAACAATGTGTTCAACTTGTTTTGATAGCTATACAAAATTAATTACACACATTCCAGCTGGACAGGAACAATAATAAGAGCAGTATATTCAACTTGACATTTCTTTGTTGCTTAAAATGGATAAACCAGTTGGATAAATTAGGCAGAATCCTAATCCAAAAATTTGATTTAGCAGGAGTCCAGGTAATAAAGACCAGCTGTACTTTTTGAATGTCTCACAAATTCAAGCTGTCATTTCTAGCATGACTATTGTCTTTATGAAGTCTGACTTGACAGTAAAATGTCAGTTGCTAAGACAAATAAAATGACAGTTTTAATTTAATAGCTTAGGTTAAACTACAGTTTGATCAAGATTGACATCAAAAGTATAAGGTTCAACCAGGATTGGTAACAATTCTGAAATGCTTTCCTGACTTGTGTCAACAGTGGTCCAAATAATGTCATTTCAGTTGATCCTGCATGCAATAAAATATATAGGTTAAGGAGACACCAACCTAACATGAGAACACATTCAAGGATGAATTTTTTACTCAAGTTGAGAGATTTCTGTGTCATTGATGTTGACTGCATTTTACTCGGTTTAATATAAAAAATTGAGAACTTGAAATCATTGAAAGACTTATATTTATATTCAGCTGAAAAGACAATATTTTATTACACACTTTTTTTAAGTCCATTTTCTATCGTTTTGAATTATTGTATAATGATTTTAATTGTGTTTATATGTTATATTTAGTTATTTTACCTTTTATGATTTCTTTTTTTTTTAATATTTGTATGTTGATCATTTATACTAGTGCAGTTTCTTTTTCAGGAGAAAATGTGTTTGCCAAAGAAAAATATTAACTATGAAAATAATATATTTATGATTAATGTTAATGGGGATTGGTATAGAACTATAAATATATATATTGCATGTTCATACGTTGTATTTAATTTTTAAGCTATTGGATGAACTACCAATGATTTATGGATCAGCATTTCTGATTTATTCACAGTAGGTATTATTTATAAACATTATCAATATTAAAAGTAAATGTTTGAATATTTTTTGTTGAAAAATTGCAGATTGAAAAACTAGCTTTACATATGTATTTATTGTAAGTGTGGATAAGGTGTTTGGTTAAGCACACAACTTGTCATACACTACAGATATTACACTATAAACCTTTAAAACATTAAAGTCTAATAGAGAGTCTAATAGCATTGTTTACATTAAAACTATTAAAGAGAGAGTCCAATGGCAAGTTGTTTAACTAATATATAAAGTGGTAATATATATAATATATGTGAGTGTTATCAACTTCTATTACCAGGTAGTAATAGGTAGACAACTTAATTGTAGACAGAATTTGTTCACATCATATTATGTAATATTCTGTGAAATCTTGATCCAGTTTTAGGACTTGGGAACTTAATGGTTTGACAGGATTTTTTAACAGATGGTACTTATCATGTGTTATCAACTCCTTAACAGTTTTTATCTTATATGATTTCCTTCTTAAAACCTTATTGAATATTAATGGGCCAGAAAATTAATGAATACATTCATATTATTGATTCATTTGCCATTTTATTTAAACACGCATAAATGCAAGTTTACACAAAATTATTTTTGAAAGCTGTAGTATTGTAGTACAATTTACAAAAAGCTGTAGTACAACTACCATGAAAGAACTATCTATCAAAAGGACAAGGATGTAAACAGCTATAGCTGAGCATACAACCTTCAATATTTCAATATACAATTGGTATTTTTATTGATGTTTGGAGTGTGGCATATAAACATATTTACTATGAATAAAGGGAGATGTGAGATTTAGTTAATGACAGCAACCAAACAACATAAATTACCAAAAGACATCTAGAGGGCAACAGACCATCTTCACAATAGGCCAATGTCTATAAAATACATAAAACTCTTCATTGTCCTGATTCTATAAAAGTTGTGAATAAAATCATCAGAGACTATCAGTATCAAAGAGCTTAAATCAACGCCCACTGTACACAACAAAAAACATTCAGATATGACAGAAGACAACAAGTTCATATGAAATGATGTCTATTGTAGAATCAAATTTGCTCTGAAAAGATATTGACAAAGTAAGTTTTGAAAGAATGAAATTGTATAAGGATGTTTTTTGATATCAGACTGATCTAACAAATAATACTGTGATTTTAGCACATGTCACCTTTTTTGGCACACAGAAGTCAGTCCTGCCTTTTTAATTTTACTAAATACATGATTCCAAAAGTATATAAGTGTGACCAGGCAACACATTTTTAGCCCTCCTGGACAAAAAACTTAGTTTACTATTGCCATCACTTGAGCATCCAAAAGTTATCTTCGAAAAACCCACTGGTCCAATTAATATTCAACTCAGCTGAAATTATCCTTCCTATGTAGGAGCTGATCATTTGTATTTTATTGTTTGAGGAGTGATATCAGACATAATAGACTTGCTTTTGATCTAATTTAAGGTAAAGCAAGTTACAGGTTCCTGAAAGTGGTTTCATAAGTTAAAAACTTCTATAGTTGAAACACAACTTTCATGGCTAAATTTTTGTTTTAAAGCCTTTTTAATTCTTATTTAAAACTTTTTTCTCTGGTTTTTTTTGCATTTTGAGTTCCTTTCTTTTGCGTCGGTACTTGCTCTTTTTGAATTCACATAAGAAAACATAAGTCAGTATAATGTATAGATGTCAGGGGAGCAATACAAGCTTCTTGGAGTCTTTATTTTGTTCATGATTTAAATGCTTGCTTATAATCCATATTGCTTCTTTCAGTTTAGAAGTAGAGAAACCTCGCAACCATGAAAATATACCCTTGAAGATAATTTTAACAATGTATTGTTTATTTGTCACTATAGTAAGTATCATACCAGTAAATTTCTTATTTAAGATACTGTTCAAACACCACACTCGGTTTTTTTCTCAAAAATTATCTGCTTTGTTGTTTAGTTATTATTAGACCACATCACAGCTTTTTTTTTATATCTTTTCATATTTTCACAGTGATAAATATTAGATCCTCAGTAAAAAGGAATTTACCGTATCAAGTGACTCCTTGTTGTCTTATTTGTGTAAACACAATTGCCTTCTTATTAACATGAATAATGCTTCTTTTGCTGTGTCATTTGCAATGTTGATTAACTTTAACATTTTGTTAGATTTACTTTTTACTTTGTGCTGACACAATATATACTATCAGTGTTGTAGGAGTAGACTGAAAAGAGGGGAAGGGATCAAACTATAGCAAATGTCATTTTATGCTACGAATAATAATGAAATAAACAAAGGGTATTTTGAGGGAGGTTTTACTGAATGGGCTGATTAACCTGACTGCTATGTACCTATAGTTAGGCTGGACCTATTCTTTTTTCATACAGAGACACTTGCCTAACCATTTATACAAATTTTAGTTTTTTTCTCCATAATGGGAAATTTGTGGTTCTAAAATTTAGCTGACAAGTGAGATGCATGTAATATTTAGCCTTTATTTATTATTAGTGTTGTCCTATTTTGTCATGCCTTCAACTAAAGTCGCAGAATGTGAGACAGGGATTACAATCCAGTTGAGGCAACGAGGACATGACTATTCGTAAAAAGATTTGTATTTTATGAGTAGAAACCTGGATGCTTCATACCTCATATACAGATGCATTATGTTATGACATTTCAGTCTGTTGTATGTTCATTGTCCTTGACCTCATTTTTATTGTTCAGGGACTGCTTAAAAATACGTATAGTTTTTTTGTCTTGTGAATTTCTCAATTATGAGTGATAGAATAAATATATTTGATATATTGGATCCATGCAAGGTCTACATGTCAAACAGGGTTCACCTGACCTCGATCCCATTTTATGGATTAGTGAACACGGTTAAGTTTTTGTGGTAAAGTTTGTATCTCAGTTACTATAAGCAGTAAGTGAAGTCAACTGTATTTGGTGTAAGGAATGATTGTAAGGTGTTCATGTCTGTCTGACAGGTTTCATCTGACCTTGACCTCAATATCATGGTTAATTAGTCAATGTTAAGTTTGTGTGTTTTAGTCCATTTCTCAGATTCTATAGTCAACAGGTCAACTATGTTTGGTGTTTGGAATGATTATAAGCTGTGCAAGTCTGTCTAGCAGTGTCATCTGAACATTACCTCATTTTCATGGTTCATTGGTCAGTGTTTTGTTTTCATGATTACCGGTAAGTCTGTTTCTCAGATACTATAAACAATAGGATAACTATATTTGGTGCATGGTGTGATTGCAAGGTGTTCATGACTGTCTGGCAAAGTTCATCTGACCTTGACCTTCTTTTCATGGTTCATTTGTCAATGTTCAGTTTTTATGGTAAGGTCTGTTTCTCAGGTACTAGCATTTGGTCACCTATATTTGATGTATGAAATAAATGTAAATGGTATATTTCTGTCTTGCAGGTTCGTCTGACCTTGACCTCATTTTCATGGTCAAGTCCGATTCTCAAATACCGTAAATATATGTTTAAAGCAATATGTTTACTATATGTGGTGTATGGAATGATTGATTGGCATACATGTCTGTCTGGCAGAGTTCATCTGACCTAGACTTCATTTTCATGGTTCATTGGTAAAAGTTTAGTTTTCATGTTTAGGTCTGTTTCTCAGATACCATAAGCAATAGTTTAATATATTTGGTGCATAGAATGATTGTAAGTAAGGCAAACATGTCTGTCTGACAGGACTCATCTAACCTTTAATTGATTTCTATAGGTCATTTAAACTGTTAATTTTATGTAATTCTTGTTGTATTACCTTTTTTCTAAGTTTTTCAACAAAAATTTAATCATGATCAGTAAACAGGCAAGACATTTCAGTGTGTGCACTCTTGTTATTTGATAACTTACAAATAGTAGATAACAGATAGACATTTGAACTCTGATCTACAAAGTAAACCTTTTTAGCAACCTAAGAAACCAAAGCCAACAACTCTTTGATTTTCTTCTTTTCATAGATTTATGCTATTTCTTTTCACCAGTCCATTACTATGAAAATGTCCAAAATTATTTTATGTTTAATTTTCATGACAAATGTGACACAAATTAAGTTTCCATCAATTTATGCCTGGTTTCATGAGTGAATGTAATTAATTAATGAAAAGTCATAAATCAGAACAAACCTGTATAGTTTCCTATACTTACCAATACTAAAATGGTCTGGCAATTGTACATTTGTCAAATTTAAGTACAAGCAATGTATTTGTGGATCAGAAAACTGTTTGCCAAATCTTACATGATCTTATGTACCTAAAGCTTTCAAAAAATGTTGTTGCTTTTGCACAGCTACTTACAGTTAATATGTTTATATATAAATATATATTACTTAAAATCAATTTTGTGAACAATAACTTTATTCTTTACAGTGATTTTGTCACTTAAGGTTATTTCCTTATTCAAGAATTGATAGGATTAATTTATTATAAACAATAGGAGCTTTATATACTTTGATATTTATTTTTCAGGTATATTTGCTTACAAAGCATGTGCTATTTTTTCAGGTAAGGTATTTATTCTGAAATTGCCAAATTATGAATTTATAGATGATAACTGACATAAAAATATCCGATTTTGTGTCATGGATGGATACCCCATTTCCTTCCTTTTCTATTATATGTCATAATACTGTAATTTCATTGAGGGAATATGTTTCAAATTAATGAATGAATACCAATGCAATAGTAAACTTTTGGTATCTATTTATTTTGGGAATAATACTGTATCACTACCAAAACTCGACTCCAATCTTAATTGATTAGGATTGTCAGTTTTTCCTACAGAAGGTCAGTGGTTCTCTCTGCACTCTGGCTTCCTCTACCAATAAAAACTGACCGCCACGAAATAGCACAATAGTGTTGGAAGTGGCGTTAAACATCAATCAATCAAACCAAGTACTTACTTACATAGTGACATAGGCAGAAATAGGCTTAGGATATTTTGTGACAGGAAAATCAAGATTTTCATCCATAAAACTTACTGCTATTTGAACTTTTTTTATATTTCAGTTGTCATATGGTTTTGTTGTAGTATCAATGAGTGTTGTATGCTGTAATAATTTTAGGTGAGCTATACGTAAAATAAATCTGTTAAAACATTAAAATCCTCAGCAGCACAAGAATTAAGGGACATGATGGAACATCTGTCTTAAGGTTTTCTAATAATCTAAAAAATTTCTAAAGAGCAATTCAAATAAAAAGAAGATGTGGTATGATTGCCAATAAGACAACTCTCCACAAGAGACCAAACAGTAAAAGAAATATGTAGACAGCTCTCTCACAAGCAAAAAACCCTAACTGTAAAAATATAAGGGCATACACCACTTAAAGAAGGAAAATCTATATTCAGTTGTTATATATTTCTTAAATAAAATTCAACTCAGAAATATGTTCAAGTATATAACACATAGACTTCTTCATCCCGTGAATTTATTTTATTTGTTTATTCAAAAAAAGATTAATTTAATTTTAAGTACCGATTTATTGCTGTAGGCAAATTTTTTTCTCAGGGTATATAATTTCATATATTTTGTGGTTGATATATTTTTGTGTAAATAAAAAAAAAAACACCAATAAAAATGCAGCTTACATGCATAGAAAAACCTTTGAAATAACATTACCTGGATTTATAACTGTACAAGAATGTTTATGTAATGATATTTCTTTTTATAACTGTACAAGAATGTTTATGTAATGATATTTCTTTTTATAACTGTACAAGAATGTTTATGTAATGATATTACTTTTTATAACTGTACAAGAATGTTTATGTAATGATATTTCTTTTTATAACTGTACAAGAATGTTTATGTAATGATATTTCTTTTTATAACTGTACAAGAATGTTTATGTAATGATATTTCTTTTTATAACTGTACAAGAATGTTTATGTAATGATATTTCTTTTTATAACTGTACAAGAATGTTTATGTTATGATATTTTTTTTATTCAGCAAAATTTAATCCACACTATTTTTTATCGCCAATTCTTAATTCCTGAAAAATTTACTAACATAGTGTTTGCTTCAACTTGACTCAGTGATATATGTTTTCTGTTTCAGGAAGTATCGAGAAGCTAGAAACATTTTCATAGTTGCCACAGTTACATATGCTTTTGGATTTCTTCTCTGGGAGATAGATCAAAACTTTTGTGGAGGCCTTAAGTATGCATCAGATCGAAACTTATCATATTCATATGCTGCTTTGTAGTATATTATACATTTTTAAAAAAGTAAACCAATACATTTCATATAAATTTTGGGATTATTTTTTTTCTGTATGATTAAAATAATGCCAGAAAAATTATAGATAAAAAATAAGAAGTTGAAAACTGGTAAAATTATTTATAGTAACGGAATCTGGTCAATATATAATTGTTGATACACACTTCCAGTGGAGTATTAGGTGGTATTAATCTGTGTTAGTCACATGACCAGAAATAACTGAAGCTAACTGAAGCTAGTATGCCTACATCATATTGTTAATTTAATGCAATATTTTCATCAACAACACTTATTACTTATAGTAATATTACACATACAAATAGTTAACATATACTCATTACTAATAGTACACATACAAATAGTTAAGAGGGCTGGTAAAGGGGGGACCTGAACACGGAAACATGTGAAATAAGAATAAAAAAACGTTGCACGGAAAATAAAAATCTGGGGAAAACGAAACACGAGGAACTAAATCGTAAATATTAAGGAAAATTGTACTAGAAGTTATTACTCAGCCGTTCTTGGAGATCATGCAGTCATTATTAATGGACATGAAGACCCTGCCGTCACCTTTTAGCGTCTGCTAGTTGCATCTGATATTATTCATAGTAATTTGATGGACTTTATTACATACCATACATATAATATAGAATTGTAAATATCCAAGGTGACTTTGAATTAGTCCCGGTTTACTTTTTAATCAAACGCGGGACAAGCACGAGAAATTTAGAGTACCGACACGGAACACGGAAAATAAATTTGGGGAAACACAAAGCACGCACATCGAACCAAACACGAGAAAACGAGAAATAAAACATCAAAACACGAAAACAAGTGAAATAAAAAAGCCGAAAAACGTTGCACGAAAATAACCCTTTACCACCCTCAGTTAACACTATTGCCTATTGCAAATAGTACACATACAAATAGTTAACATACAGCTCATTACTAATAGTTAAAATACAAATAGTATCACACATACTTATTACTTATAAATCACGTACAAATAGTTAACACACATTCTTATTACTAATAGTACACATACAAATACTTAACACATATCAATAACTTAAAGTTTATGTACAAAAAAATTAGCAAAACTCATATTGCACAACAAGCTATAAAAAATGATATGTCACATACAAATAATTAACACACATGTGTATTACAAATAGTACTCATAAAAATAGTTTTCACACATGTTTATTATAATTAATACACATACAAATAGTTGATGCACATTCTTATTACTTATATTATATATAAAAATAGTTAGTTTTACCATTACTGACTCCCCAAAACTGCAATCAATGGTCTCCCCAAATAACATCATAACAATATAAATTAATCACTGGAGTCTAGTTAGCTATATAATGTCATTTATTATATACTAAGTAGTAAGTAAAGGTAAACTGCATGTGTAATACAATCAATGGCAATCGTGCTGTATCGACCATCCGTGATAATATCAATATCATTCACGGTTGCAAAAGCTTTATCAAACCCCTAAACTCTATGACATCACGTCATTGATATCAGTCACGGTTGTAAAGGCTTTATCAAATTCCTAATCTGAATTACATCATGTCACGTGAAAAAAAAACATCTACTTGAAGTATATAATAAAGTGTATAAACACTTGACACAAAGCAAACAACTATCAATCAATCAAACATTTATGTCAGTAAATTTAATCTTATTTCAGATTATGGAGAAGTGAAGTATTGGGACCTTTTGCACCAATATTTGAATTACATGCATGGTGGCACCTCTTAGCAGGGACAGGAACATATCTATCTGTATTATATAGGTAATCCTATTAAATAAAACTGTAAAACTGTAATCTTAATATTACTTAACATTCACTAGAGATACATGGGAAATACTGTTGATTCCTGTATTTTTTCTTGGTACCAATTTTCATGGATTGAGGAAAAATTCTTTTTTCATGGAAACTTTATTTCATTGTTTTGTCAAATTCCACATTCAATATAAAAATAAGAAGATGTGGTATAATTGCCAATGAGACAATTCTCTACCGGAGACCAAATGACATAGAAGTTAACAACTATAGGTCACCGTACAGCCTTCAACAATGAGCAAAACCCAAACCGCATAGTCAGCTAGTCTTTATGAAATTTATACACCTGTTGTCTTGTCTAGACGGAGTCATAAAACGTGACATTGGTATGCTGTTTCCGGCGTCGGTGTTGGCGGTGGCAGCATCGTCAACAATGTATTAGTTTTTCAGTTTCTGGGGAACCAGGTAGGTCAATTATATTTGGTATGCAGCTGTATTAGCAGTGACACATCACATTTCCATGGAGATTATTTGGCCCCGCACTCTCACTCATGGTCTATTGATTTTGAAACTTTTGCTTAGTTTACATGTATCAGTTTTAATATGGGGAACCACTAGTGGTAAGTCAATGATATTTGGTATGCAGCTGTATTAGCATCGGAAAATCTCATTTCCATAGAGATTATTTGGCTCTGCCCCCTCAGTGATGGTCTATTGACTTTGAAACTTTTGCTTAGTTTAGATGTATTAGTTTGTAATTAGGTCAGTTTATGGGGAACCTATAGTGGTAGGTCAGTGATATATGGTATTCAGTTATATTAGCATTGGCACATCTCATTTCCATGGAGATTATTTGGCCATGTACCTTCAGTCATGGTTCATTGACTTTTAATATTTTGCATAACTTACATGTTAAAGTATTGCTATTTTAATTTCAATATTGGAATTTTACTATCAAAATAATTAAAAGGTGAGATATATCTCTGTGTTAACAGTTTATTTTTAAAACTGAAATTCCTGTTTCAGTTATACCATAGTAATTCATCAAAATCAGTACTCAACAAATAATAATGAAACCATTTGATAGTCATATTGTGTCTGTACTAGCATCTGTACATTTATGAAACCAAAATGTATTTTATAGAACCCTAGACATTTTATGATAGTGAATATTATTAAAGGACAAGCTTTTATCAATACTGTGTTTGTCGTGGGCCATAAACAATTTTATTTGTGTGAACAAGGAGACATCTTGATGAAATATTTTTGCAATGACTCGTGCTGGATATATGAAAAACAGAAAATGCAATTTATTTTTCAGACACATTTTTTCTTAGGTCTATTTGATTCAGTTTACTTTTTACTTTTTAACTCCCCCCCCCCCCCCTGTAGGCAACAGGGTTATTAAGTGTTACCCTTGACCGCCATTCCATCCGTCTTTCCGTTTGTCCATCCGTCCCATTTTCGTTTCCGCACTCTTACTTAAGTTTGCCTCATGCAAATTTTATGAAACTGATACACAATGCTAAGAACCAAAACTTGCAGACAGAGTTCAAATTTGGGCAGTGAGTCACTAACCATTCTAGTTATGCCCCTTTATAACTTGGAAATTGTAATTTCTTTCGTTTCCTCCATCTAACTTAAGGAAGTACACCACTAATTCATGGCCCCATTGCTTTCTATGTTAAATTCCTCAATTTCAAGCAGACACAGCTCTTTTGTTTCAAGTTCAAATAAAGTGACAATCATTGCATGTCAAAGCAACACTTTATGGTGTCTTGTACTGGAAAAATCAACATACCTTTAATGGCATATAAGAAAGAACTGGTTCCCGGAACTTCGGATGTACCAAAACAGGTACTTCAGATCTGACATACAGGCAAAAAGTACCCTCTTTATAAAATTTGGTGCAGTTTTTTATAATATTCAAAATTATAAGTCAAAAAGTGTTCTACAATGATCACCAGTCATTCAGCTTTCATTTGATACCAACAATACCTAAATATTCTACATATTTTGAAAGTTACACTCATGTGTAGGAACTATTTTGTGTTAAATATGTACTACTTTCTGGTATGTGCTTTCTGGCCGGGCCGAATTAGTGGTGTTACACCTATAACAGAACCAAACTTGCTATACTGACTTCAGCATCACTTTATTTCATTCTATGATCTATTTCAAGCAATAAAAAACACATAAAGCTTAAGTCCAAATACTATTTTACTAATTTTAAGCTCAAATTGGACTGGTAGTAACATATAGGTTATTCAAAGAAAACTGCATATGGATATTATAAATGGCCAATATACTTATTTTATTCTCAATATCATTGTTGTATTTAATAATTTCTGTTAGGAAAACAATGTGCTTACCAATAGTCATATTTCACCAGAGTTTGTTCATTTAATAAAAATATATTAGACCAAACCTAAGACATAATTGAGAAAATTGTCCCCCCTTTTTTTTTCAAATTGGAAAAGGGACATTTTTGGTATAAACCATACTTCTGTGGTACAACATAGATTATAAAGAGCAATTTATATATTTATCAGCTGGTTAACTTGCTAAACTTATTCAAAATTGCATGTACAGTGAGATTTTGGAATTCTTATATGAGTATATACCAATTGGCTAGATTGTAAAAGGCTATCATAAGAAAACCAATAAAACTTGAAAAATCATAGGATTATTTGACCAAGAGCTATTTTTTTACTATAAAGAAGTCATTATATACATGTTTTATTGATTGCAATCCCAAATAATGCAAAAATAAGAATTTGGGGTCAAGTCTTAACTGCATGCATGTTGTGTGACCATAAAAGGCTAAAATACCTGATTATGTCAATTTAAGAGCTGAAATTTCCCATAAACAGAATTGTTGGTCCAAAAAAGATGATTAAACATGTTTACTTACATCAAATATGACTTATTTTCATTGGAATAGGTACAACTTCTAAAAATTGAATTTCTGATGATTCTCTGTAATAGGAAGTACACCACTAATTCATGGCCCCATTGCTTTCTATGTTAAATTCCTCAATTTCAAGCAGACACAGCTCTTTTGTTTCAAGTTCAAATAAAGTGACAATCATTGCATGTCAAAGCAACACTTTATGGTGTCTTGTACTGGAAAAATCAACATACCTTTAATGGCATATAAGAAAGAACTGGTTCCCGGAACTTCGGATGTACCAAAACAGGTACTTCAGATCTGACATACAGGCAAAAAGTACCCTCTTTATAAAATTTGGTGCAGTTTTTTATAATATTCAAAATTATAAGTCAAAAATTGTTCTACAATGATCACCAGTCATTCAGCTTTCATTTGATACCAACAATACCTAAATATTCTACATATTTTGAAAGTTACACTCATGTGTAGGAACTATTTTGTGTTAAATATGTACTACTTTCTGGTATGTGCTTTCTGGCCGGTCCGAATTAGTGGTGTTACACCTTAAGTATTTCTCCTCCAAATTTTATGAAACTCATACACAATGACAAAAACCACAGCACATAGACAGAGTTCAAATTTGTGTTGTGAGTCATTTACTTTTCTAGAGTTATGCCCCTTTTTAATTTGTAAAATTTCAAAGCTTGAGCAGGGGCATTTGTGTCCTCAGACACATTCTTCTTTTATTTTTGATTTTTTTATGATGAACAATGTTAATGAAGTACTGTTTTCTCTTTCATAGGTCTAAAGTACCAGATTTTTATGTTTTTATTCTTCCATTTTGATTTACGAAGATTATTTTTTATCAGTAGAATTTGAAAAAATAATTTATTATCCAGTTACATCTTTATGCTATGGTTGTCTTATACCTCTCTACAAATACACCATGCATCTAGTTATTATATCAAGAAATAAAGGTCCACACATTTTCTAAAAATCAAAAGAATTTTGCTGTGCAGACCTTGGTTTAATTTGACTTTTTGATATGTTTCTTTTGATAAATCAAATAATTGTATAGTTAAACAAATATCTAAGACTTTTATTTTTATTTTACAGTGCATATTTAAGATCCTTAGTATTAGGAAACAAACCAGAAATAAAGGTATGTTTAAAACATTACTTGTATTACAGACACATGAATAGCCCTGTTACATTGTTATTTCAGTTCTATCATCATAATTGTGTAGAATTATCAATATGAAATAAGAAGTAGTGGTATGATTTCCAATGAGACAACTATCCACCAGAGACCAAATGACATAGATGCATACACATTTAATACTTGTTGACTGCTTTTGGTATGCATATTGTACTCTTTTTTTTTAAACTTTAGCAGACATAATTCTATGTCTGGAGTTTAGATTTCTATGTGACTATTTAGTGAAATTGCAACAATGGTGCCATTTTTTTAAGAACAGCTTTGTGTTTTATTATCATTTTTTTTCAGATATATTTATTGTATTAAAAAAAAGGATTATTGTTTTGACTTATGTAATTAAATTTTGACATAGAAAGGTAGGATTGTTTGTGTATAGAATTCTCCAACAAATGAAGGTATAATATACTGTAAATTCTGAAATTACTCTGTGCCTTTATTTTTGCCAATCCTTGGCCTCTGACGAATGCGTGAAATCTTATTAATGTGATTGCAAAAATTTTATGTAGAGAAATCCCTACTGAAATTATTAATGCAAGTTTTTATTATTGCGACCCTGATGTCCCATTTTTCGCATAAGGCCAGGGAAAAATGATTGTTGATTTCCCCTAACCCGACCTGGTGTATTTTAAACCGACGGGACGTTTATTTTTTTTCGCAGAACGAAAAAAAGAAAGGAAAAAACGCTGTGTCTTGTTCCGATCCAGCAATGTAAACAAATATTTTTTCATATACCTTTCAGTTTTGTTGTTTAAAAGCAGAACAATGTCAAGGTAATTTTTTCCCGCCTTAGTTTCTAGATCGCTGAAGCGCTTGACTGATCAGAAAGACAACAATGATTTTAAGTGTTTCGCTCCCCTGTTGTTTAGATCCCCCAAAATGGCCAACTCAGCACCAAGATCCAGTATTCTATTAAGATTGAATACATGGACACCAGTTCTTTATGTTATTAAAGTCACCTAAGTTTAATACCAGTTGTAAAATATTTGTTCTACAGGCAGTTTAGCAACACTACACAAGGCCGGGCCTGAAAATTTTCCAATGTTAGGGGAAACCAACAATCATTTTTCCCTGGCCTAAGGTCAAGTTACAGTAAATGGTCTATGTCACAGATTTTGGTAAAATTTTGCATACAACTCTGGCTTGTTGAACTATAACTGAAAATTGAAAAAATAATGCATTTATCTCTTTTATCTGAAATATTACTGATTGAATGCTTTCAAAAAATGACATAGCCCATTTACTGTTCCTTGACCATAAATAAAAACATTGCAGTAATTTCTGAATTTACAGTAATTATCAAAGTGATGGAATCCACTGTAACATTAGCAATTGTTCATTATTTCAGTACTGGAAAAAAGTTTGGCCATACATAAGGATAACTAATGGTAAAGCAATGACATGATGATGGTATTCTTTAGTATGGATGTTATATGAACAGGATGTTTCCAGGTGTGATTGAAGCATGATTGTGACATGAGGTTTTTGTTTGTTGAACACTATGTTTAACTGATTTCTGTGGGATGAATATGTATATTATTACATTGTATGTGTATACTGTTCAATCTGTAAAAACAACATTATATAAAATATCACATTACCAATAATAAGATTTCACTGCCAGTATCAGAGTCAGTTTTATTTGATAGAAAATAACATAAGAAAACGTAAGCTAAAGGGTTATTTAACCATGACTTGGTTGTATTATAACAATAAAGATAAAATAGTATAATACTTATAGAAGAATGCTACTAGTACTTTATGTAAGTAGATGTATGCATTTATGTGTGAACATTTATTTATTTTTGAAGTAATCATGAATGATAGAACATTTCTCAATTTTTGAAACGGGTATTCATTCTGTTGTTCAACATATATATGTTTTTAGTTAATGGGTATTCATTTTCATGGATTCAGGTTCAACAAGAAATCTAAACATAGCCATTCAACTCTTGTGGCATTGTGAATACTGAGAATATGCATTCATATGATATTCAAACACAGTTGGTCTTCTTAAGAAAAATTCCACTGGGCCTAAAAAAAATAATTATCTGTTTTTTAGACACTGGACTCTGTGGAAAAAATCTGCAGGCTTTTTATGATTACAAGTGATCTTGATTTTCACTTTTCAAATGGATGCAGAAATCTCAGATAATTTTGGACTTAATATTACAAATACATTTTGAAATTTGAAGCATATTTCTTGTGGTTTTAATAATTGTTTGAGGATAAATGAGAAAAGAAACTGATGACATGTGAATTATTACAGCTTGAACTGTGGTTTAAGCAAGGTCAGTGGCATTAGGCTTGCGGCATTTTCAGCCCTTAGAAGAGAATGTTTCTTTCTGATATAAGTCACACAATTGTCAAAAATAAATATATCAATTTAAAAACATCTCCTTTTTTCCTTTCATAGTCGTGTATTAGGTGCTGAAGTTGTAATACATTTGTTATTGATAAGTATGTATATTCAAGTAAAAGTATAATTTCTCCCTCCACATATATGGGGGGGGGGGGGGGGGTCAAATTGTTTTATCCTTCCAGTCATTCCATTTGTACATTTATCTGTCACAAAAGTCTTGTCAACGTCAAATCCACAGTTTACATTGGAATGAAAAAACTATACAGAATAACTCTGTCCTGAATTTTATTGTGCACCTCCCTTTTCCAATTTTTTCATAAAAAAAAGAAACTTTACGATCCATTTGTACATCTGTATGCATGCATGAAAATATTTTGGTATTTGTGTATTCCAGGCCAGTTATGCATATGTAAAAAATAAAAGAAGAAGAATGGCATTTATCAAAATGACAGGGTAAAATAAACATTTCAAATCCTTTCGTATAAACCCAGGCTGATAACCCCATATCAGTCCAGCATAATGTCACATGGTTTGGTTAAAATTGGGTTATCAGCCTGGATGTGTAACAGTGTTCCTACATCGAAGGTATATTAAACCTTTCGCCGATGAGTCCCGGTTTACCGGGATTCACGCTTCAGACAGCTGACGATGAGTCCCGTTTTACCGGGATTGGAATACCTCTTTTATATTTCCCGCTCAAAACAGTGCAAACACGAGTTATCTTTCTTTGTTGAATACCCGGATGAAAGTGTAAACATGGCGCTTTCGTTTGTTGAAAACCGTGTCAAAATCAGAGGAAATTTACGGAATTTACGAGAATTTAAAATGAGGGAACATTTTTTTTGAAAGAATATGGAAAAATTGAAGCCAAACTAGTATACTTTTTTGACATAAAATGTCGTTTTATGTACAAAACACTTGGAATGGACATCGTTCAGTGTAAGGAATTTGTACAGCCTCATTAAATTTTTCAAAATTTTGCCGTTTTGGGTTAAAAAATTACGATTTGGGGTCAAAAAGTAGAATTTTGAGAATTTCACCTAGATGATGCCGAAAATTTGAAAATTTGAATATTTTATGAAGAAAAAATTATCAAAACATGAACAAAACTGTGAACATGGTGTTAGTGAATGAAATAAAGACACAAAATACTACAGACAAGTTTTTATTAACATTTATTATGAAGATCTCCCACTTGAATAATAGTAGCCAGGGAAGCCATCGTCTCAGAGTAGCTTCTGTCTGGGCAGCTATCGGTGAAAGGGTTAAACAGATTATTACATTATAGTTTACTATAATATGCATGTATAAGAACAATAGACATCTGTTATACAGGCATATAACTTATATTTAAGGTGAGGGAAAAAAAATATTCTTATCAGAACTATTGGAGTCTTCTGCCATCTTGATTCATAAATGACCACAAACTAATTAGTCCAGATTTTCACTGAGATTAGGAAATTTTTATGCAGTAATGGTATTTATTTGAGGAACTTTTAATCATTTGAAGAAATAAGTATGATTTCATCGTAACAGCTTATTATTTTCAATTAGATAAATTTTTATGATTGATTAAAAAAAAATTAAATGTTGCTTTATTAGCGGAGATTGGGAATAAGTAAATTTATTAACTAATTTTTTTTTTGCCAGAAAATAAGTCCTGTGTCCCAATTCTCTTCTTTTTGATTTTCTGAAGCAATTTATAAGAGCTATTTACTGATATTTTATTTAAAAATTCAAGTCTCATAATTTTGCAGAAATATATTGTGAAAAAAATTGGATTTCTCCTTTTTTTGCGACCAAAAAGGGGGCATAGGCACTTAAAGTATTGTCTTTATTGTATTTTTCGCATCAGAATTCACACTTTCAAATGCAGATTTTTTGCATGATCAAAATTTTCAGCAGACAAGAGAGACGCAGGAATCATGACTTTTTTTCCTGTTATAATTGTTTGCTTCATTTAAATATTGCAAGACAGCTAGGTCATGGCTGGCCCAATTAGTCTTTCTTGCTATATAGCAGGGAAGTTCTAGTCTACTACTGTACATGCGGCTTTGATTTGTTTTTTGATATTGTTAACATATCTATGTATTCCATGATATGATACATTGTCTAATGAATTTGAAGTTTGCAAAAGCTTGTAAGATTGTTATTTTGAAGTATAAGATGGTTATTGTTTTTAATCTTATTATGCACGGTCAATGCACATTGTATTTCACAACTAGCAAATAGTTTTATATACATTTTTATGTTGCCCAGTCTTCACGATTAACCACAGAAATTTTATGAAAGTCTGATTTTTAGGCTTGCAAGTCAAAAAGTTGTCTTGAAGACTGGTTGTCATGGTACATATAATATTGTTAAACATGACTTAACTATTCTTGCATGGTGAAAATTATACAGTATTAAAGATATGGTTGTGGGTTTTTTTTATGAAATGCAATGCTTTGGCCAAAAAATTAAATCAAAGCGCTATTCTTCCTTAATGTGTTGACTATAGACTATTATTACGATTTTGTGCCTAATGGGTGAACTTGCATATATGTTAATAACCAACTGAAGGCATATTTACTTTAATTTAACCTCCCTATCTTTTCTACACCCTAAAAATTAATAGATGAATCAAATGCCAGAAAATTTAATTATTTTTTTTTCACAAATACAATTAGTGAGTGCAAAGTCCATTGTCCCTATAATGATTTTTAGAATAAGCTTTTTTTATAAAGTTATTCAGCAACATATTTACATGTGCATATCACATTTTCCTCAAAGAAAGAAAAAAAACATGTTTGTGGTAAAAATGTTTCTAAAACTTTGAAAATTAGTTCTGACAAGTGCAAACTTTGAAACACTCCTTGTGAAATGAAATTTAACACAGTTGCTAAACATCATATTATGCATTTTACTTTTGAATGAGAATTAAAAAAAACAATTTTGAATTAGAAAAGTAAGTTTTGGTATTTCAAAATTGTCTCTCCATGATATATTTCCATGTGGGTTCTTGCTGATATGTTAGTAATTCAAACCATAGAAACTTACAAGGCACCAATGAAATGCTGTATGTAATTTTGTAAAGCAGTTTTCAGTAAAGTGTCATATTATACTTAAGAAATAATTCATGGGGGCTTGAATATATCATGATTTTACCACGGGTTGGCCCTTTATGACAAATATTTTACCCTGAGCGATAGCGAGGGGTAAAATATCGGCATAAAGGGACAACCCGTGGTAAAATCACGATATATTCAAGCCCCCATGAATTATTTCGATTCTAATAGGACAAATACAGCAATTGTTTTGGATCGAAGTGCTCTAGATGAAGGCATTATTTGCCGTTCCCATAAATAAACGCACTATTAAATTGACGTAAAAGACCGGAGCAAACTGAATAAATGACATGCTTAAACTATTTACAATAACATATTTAGATAGGTTTGGATGAATCTAAATGATAATTGTACTTATATGTCTTATATGTATACAAAAAATGGCTTATATAACACATTTTATCATCGTTTGTTTACGTTTCCTTGTTGTGGTGATTTTCGGTTTCACAAGCGTGTATTTTCCCGTAAAATGCTTATATTCTTACGTCATCGTTCTATGACGTCGGGTAGCTCATTCATAAAAAAAGCATATGACGCGGGAGTACGATCGGAACAGCCCAAACAATATATTCATATTTTACCACAGGTGTGTACTCAAAGCGTTTGAAGAACGTCATGTTAGAATTCATAACACTGAAGAATAGACTCTTATTATCACTAACTTCTATGACTATCAAAATTTCGAGTGAACATTTTTATTTTTTGCCAAAATTATTCTTTAACTATTTTCCCAATGTTAAAAACATTGTAAACTTTTCTGATTATACAGTAGTATTTATTTTGATTTACTTTATTTTTATGTACTAACAGATAACCAATTTCAATATCTTATTTACATTTTTGTGAAAATTAATGGATAGTCAGTTTAGATTTTTTATATTAGTTTAATTCTGTAGATAGGACTAAGATCTCAACTAGTCGCATATATTTTTCATGACTTGCAGTCCAGCTTTAGGAAGTTACTAGTTAAACATTTTTTGCAGAATTTATGTTTTATGTTTATATTATCTGTACATTGTTTTTATCTTATGTTTGTTTATAAGCTTCAGCTAGACTTTTCGTTATTTCAAATCTTATTATCTGGTGCATATGACAATATGATATTTATTTTTGCTTCCAAAGTAAAGGAGACTGTGAAGAAGGTTCACTTGTTACCCATGTATATCTATCCCATTTCGTTTAACAGGTTAAATTTCATGTCCATCTATTTATTGTTTGTCCTTCCAAGGTTAAACCATTAATATAATGTAAAAAGTCAAATTTGAGTATTCCATTCAACAATTTTATACTAGTAAGCCTTGAAAAAAATCAGCTGAAGTTTTGACATCTGATCTGTAAAACATAGGTCAAGTTTTACATATTTCACATTTTTCATTCCTATTTGCTTGAAAATTGTAGAAAATAACTAAAATTTACCTTTTTTTTAAATTGAGCTGAAGTTGTTAGGCACCATATAACACAGATATTTTTCAATCTAATTTGAAAGTTTCACCTTTGTTTTTGTTCACCTTTGTTTTTGTTCCTAAGGTTACATCTTCTTCAGACATGGTTTACCTTAGACCACATGGTTTACCTTAGACCGTTTTGGCTATTCTTCCAAGCCTTATAGTAATTTCCAAGATCTATTGAAATATTGAAATTTTTGTCAGAACCATTTTATCAGATTAATGTAGATTGTGACATATTTTATTTTTATATTTCCCAGATTTTATGATTCTTGAATGATTTGGAAAAAGCCATGTTTGGGAATGTTCCAATGTTATAGGAAGTATTTAATATATATTCAATTCCTTTGTGATGATTTTGACATTTGTTGTTCCTGAATTATGCCTCTAGATTATTTGATAAAAAAGCAAAATATGGGGTTTTTTTATTCAGTAGTTCAACAATGCCTAAAATATTTCTTGGGATAAAAATTACACAGTATTGTTGATAACAAAAGACATTCTGAACTGTGATCCATATCCCTTTCCTTAAACTAATTACTGGATTTGTGAATTCTACAATTCAACTCTGATTATTATTTGAATTCTTCTCTTGGAAAATGATCTAATTCTCAAAAATAAAGAATCCATGATAAATTGCTTCTCATGTATGTTGTAAAAGATTGTTTGATTTCTATTTATTTACATTGGTTGATCCCAAAAAATTACTAGGTACAAATGTTCCATATTCAGTGGCCACATTCTTTAATAATCGTTTTAATATTCAGATTGCAGTTATCTTGTTATACATTATTTTATGTGATAACTGATACACATACACTATATACTGGTGGATTATTGTCTCATTGGTAATCCTACAACATCTCCTTA